AAAAAACTTCCATACAGCAAAGGAAACTATGCATAACACAACAAGGACCCTACTGAATGAGAAGACGTTTGCAAATGATATATGCAATAAGGGGTTAATATCCAAGAAATATAAAAAACTCATGTAACTCAACAACAAAAAACAACCTGATTAAAAAATGGGGAGAGGAGCTGAACAGACATTTTAATTTTTCTAAAGAAAATATACAGACAGCAATAGGCACATGAAAAGATGTTCAAAATCATCAATTATTAGGGACATGCAAATCAAAACCACAATGAGATATCACCTTAGACCTGTCAGAATGGCTATTACCAAAAAGGCAAGAAATAACAAATGTTGAAGAGGCTGTGGAAAAAAGGGAACCCTCATACACTGTTGGTGGGAATGCATCTTGGTGCAGCCACTATGGAAGACAGTACAGAGATTCCTTAAAAAATTAAGAATGGAACTACCATATGATTCAACAATCCCACTTCTGGGTATTTATTCCAAGAACAAGAAAACACTAATCTGAAAAGACATCTGCACCTCCATGTTTACTGTGGCATTATTTACAAGAGTCAAGATATGGACATAACCTAAGCCCATCAACAGATGACTGAATCAAGAAGGTGTGGAACACATATGGACTGGAATGGAATATATTGGAGTATTACCAAGCAATAAAAAAAGATAAAAATCTTGCCATTTTTGACAACATGGATGGACCTTGAGGGTCTTATGCTAAGTGAATGAAATAAGTCAAATTGAGAAAGCAAATATCATTCGATTTAACTCATAGGTGGAATATAAAATAATAAATACACAAAAAACAAAATAAATGAACAAACTAAACCAAACAAAAACAAACATGTAGATAGATACAGATAACAGAGCAGTGGGTTACCAGAGGCGATGGCGAAGGGGAAGGCAAAATGAATGGGTTAAAGGTGAACAAAAAAATACATTTTTCCTGGTGAGCATGTTGTAGGGTGTACAACATGCTCTACAGAAGTAGAAATATAATGCTGCACATATGAAATGTATATAATCTTATAAATCAATGTTACTTCACTAACAATGATAAAATAAGTAATAATAAAATAAAATTTTTCTTAAGGAACAATAAACAGACAAAAATGTGATCTTAGATAAGTACTCTGGGGCCTGGTCAAAGCTGCCCTACCTGTAAAACAAAAAATCAGGAATTAATTGTTACCTTCCTTCTCAATCTTATTTGCAGCCTTCAGTTAACCAGGGTCACGCCTGATCATCCATCTCTCCAAAACGAATAAAGTAAAAGAGCTGGAGTAATTCCTGTCCACCGTCAATCACTAGGTCTTGCCAATTCTACTACCTATATACTTTTTAAATTCAGCTCTTATTCGTTCTTTCCATTTCTCATCTTCACTTAAATTATGCAATTGTCTCCTAACCAGTCTTCCTGCTCCCATGCCCTTTTCAACCATAATCCATCACCCACTTCAACCACAGTTACAGAAAGTGAATATATCATGTTACTCTTTTACTATAAAACCTCCAAAAATTCCTTGACAACAGGACCTTCTAAAATCTGACCTTACCCTTTACCAGCCCCCCTCACCACCCTATTTACTATATAGGGCAGGAAAAATCTAAGTTCTTGCATAACCCAAAACTAACTCGCCTTGCTTCATACCTGGAACATCCTATATACCTTGAAATTCTTAAATATCATTAATTAAGCAGTGAATGCATGTGGTAATCACCTACAGGCAGAAAGAAGGTAGTTGGCCAATAAAAGATAGCTAACAATAAAATCTCATTTACAATTATTTGAGAAGTTAAGATACTGAAAGAGTTATCTGTAAAGCCACGTACTCTCAGCACAGTCTAACTGAAAAGACAAAGTAGAGTATTAAGTTTTTTCATTAAAAAACTTTAAAAATTATACAGACATCTGGTAAGACATGAATGAAAGAAGTCTGTTTAAGCTAACGAGCACATACACTTCCTAAATCATGAATGGAATGTCTGTACACTACTTCCAATTCACCAATTGTACCACATTACGTATACCCAGCTGAGCTTTGTGAATAAATTTAGATTCAAGATTCAAAAGTGTTTAACAGCACACTAAGATTCTACACAAATTTTAAGTTTACATCATTGAAGTTTCTTCTTGAGTACTTTTGCAAGATGATAAATTGTGGTCAAGATCGTTTTCACTGATATAGTGGACAAATAAAATCACTAAAGCAATACTAATTGTTACATTTAAAAGCGTATTTTTGATCTCCTTTTCCTTCCCCCTTTCAAATAATTGTAGAGCAATTTGAATTTCCATATTATGTGCCATATCAAGAGCATCCTGAATATCTCTAACAAATTCATCCTTATCCTGTCTACAGTATTACTAAGAGGTGAGTTCTTTCTTTGTTTATAATAATAAGCCTATCTTAGATAAAGGTAGTTTTACTCTCTGGAAAAACTTAAATAATCAGCTTAATTTATTTCCCCTTACTTCATTACCTCACAGCATTAATTAGGAACAAGTAAGGCAGCCATTTTATGCAGAAATTTAGATAGAAACAAATGGCATGCAGATCCTCTCTGTTTATATTGTGTCATTTAACAAAAACGGTTAAATGCCATGGAGATCATACTTCATAATTATATGTTTTGTAATAGTGCCTTTTAATGATGATAAACAATTCTATAATGTGATCAGTTCACTTTTAATATGATGCTCATTTTATTTGAATTGTCAGCACAATGGATAAAAGAATTTTTAAAAGCATTTCTCATAGGCAAAAGGTATCTAAATAACAACGATTTATATACTGCTTTATAATTTATAATGTTCTTTTTACATATATTATCTCATATATATAGATCTTACAGATCACCCTATGAAACAGTACTATTAGCTCATTTTATAAAAGGGAATATTAAACTTCAGTGATATTAAGTGTCATATTCACTCAGCTATTAAGTGGCAGAGCCAGAGTTTAAGCTGAGTCTTTTGTTCCAAATCTCCTTCATAATATACTTCCTGTTCAGGAAATAATGCTTTTCTCCCAAATGTGTAAGAGGGTGCAGACATGTCAGTCACATGTAACCTATTAAGCAGGAAGTTATTTGCATAGTAAATCTCATCACCAGATCTCATTCATTATTTTCCACAGCTCCAAAACAGCATTTTAAAGTAACTATAAGGCACAGAAAAACTCAAGAAATCTAACTCACAGGTTGAGCCAAGGCATATACACACATCAACCCCAATCACAGTATTTTGGATGAACTCAAATACCCAAGTTCTTTCTTTGCTCAGCTCTGCCCTTTCTTGGGTCTTTATCTCTTCTCGCTTCCTCTTCCCTCTCAACCACGGAATTTCACAAACTACCGGTATGACTGACTGCAGGGGCAGATATCAAGAACAGAGGTATGAGTTCCACCTTTCTTTTCCACATCTAAGATGAGAAAATAAAAGGCACTCTCTCAGTAACCCCCCAAGGTATAAAAAGCAAACCAAAGGCAAAGCATATTTCTCTAGCTTTATCATTCAACTGTCTTCTAAAAATGCTTATTGGCTGAAAGGCAAGGAGATTAAGTACCAATATGCAAGTGTAGGTACTTTAATATCCATTTAAACTCACACTGTAACAGAACACTTTGATAAAATAAAAGTAATTGACACAAACATCTAAGTCCGAAGCAGGCAATTACTTTGCTCAGACACAAAAACATCTACATGTGTAAACTTGTGTTTTCCAAATGTCATGTTTTATAATTAGGAATACTAAAATCCTTTCCTTAATTATTTAAATTTGTAAGATTTACAAATAATTTTCTCCTTGTAAAAGACTCATGGGAGGTAAGCTCTAACTACAGTTAAATCCTGCCAGAATGAGGAAACTGTGATTCAAAGAGATTCAGCCACATAAAACACAGGGTTGGATTATTGTGAGGTTAATAAAATGATAAAATGATAAAGAAAGGTGAGCATATACCACTGGCTGGCTAGGAGTTCTGTGCAATTCAAATCTCTCTAGGCCTGGGATGCACTATAGCACCACCTGGTGGCAACTGTCCACTCTAGTGTCAATATCCATGGGGTCATCTTGGGTCCTGTGCCTGGCTGGGACTTCAGTAGCCTCAGTCCCAGGAATCCTTTGATTAGGTGGTATCATTTTGATGTGGCTATGAAGTCAGAGCAACACAGGGTAAAAGGAAGCTTGTTTTCGGCTTCCCTGCTTCCAGAAATGGTTTTGTCACGTTTCCCAACCTAGCTCTACAAACTATCTTAGAGAAAGGGCTAATTTTTATAAATTTATGTTACCATGGTATGCGTTTTAAAGGCTTTAAAAAACAAAAAAAACAAGAACAGCAACAACAAAAACTAAAAGAAAAAAATTTTAATAAATTCATATTGTGACAGCACACTTTGATAAAATAAAAGTAACTAACACAATTAAACATCTAAGTCCAGCACATTCTCCAACTGATTCCATACCAACGTTTATGTCGCTACGTGGATGGTTTGGAAGTAATTGTGTATGTCATCAGAGAAATAATCCCATAAATTTTAAGGTTACTAAGTCGGCCAATAAAATTCATAAAAGTACTCATTTGCGGAAGAGAAACAGTATCATCACCTATGCCCCAGGTGGAGCTCAAGTCCAGATCTTTCTCCTGAGATTCAGACCTTGGTCACTTTTTGAAATAGTCAACTATTCTATTTGCACATGTCACAGATACTTCAAATGAAACTAAATGTATCATATTTCCCAATTAATGCCTTGTCTTTTTCTAATGTTTTAAAAACTGCATCACCATCCACGCAGCTGCCCAGTCAAGAAACCTGGTGATATCCTTAACTTCTTCTCACTCCCCAATCCAGTCTAGTCACTGAATCCTGTTAGTTCTGCCTCTTGAGCATTTTCCCATCTGGCCCATTTTCCTCCTTCTCTACTACTACTAGTCCAGTTCCACCATCACTTCTCATCTTGATAAAGGAAACAGCCCCTAAAAGTGGCCTCTTTGCCTGTAGCCTTATACTGCTCCAGTCTACCCTTCACATCACAGAGCGGTCTTTTTGTATAAAATCAGATCGTATCACATATATCCCTAAAATTTTTTCATTGTTCATGATCTTAGACAATGGTGCAAATGCATGATTTAGACTCGTTTCCCTCTTCTGTTTCATTTCTTACAACTTCCTGCTTCTTGGTCTATCATTTAGCCATACTGAATTCATTTCAGTTTGTTCAAAAAACTTCATTTTGTCTTGCCTCTGGGGTGTACATTAATTCCTCGAATTCCCTTCCCTCCCATAACTGACAGTCTGACTCTCAGTCATCATGCAGGTGTTAGCGTGGGTATTTCTCCCTCCTTGTAGTCTCCCGAGTCCTCCCAGGGCTGAGCTAGATACACCCTGAGTCTATGCGGTGTCATCCTGGATATCCTGACATTTTCTCCATTGTCATCACACTTACGATCACTGTTTCTTCGTTTGTCTTTACCCTCTATTAGACTACCAGCTTTGTGAAGGCAGAGGCCACCTCTGTACCTATGGCATCTAACATGTACCAAGTATATAGTAAGTTTCAATAGAAATTTGCTAAATAAGTGAATTTATTGCTCTGAGAGCTCAAATGTAAACTAACTCTACTATTATCCTTAATCTGATTTCAAGTCTTGCTTGTTGGCAAAGGTCAAAGTATCATATACTCAAATCAGTGCTGATAAACTAGTATGACAATTATATCAATTTCAAAATAAGGTTCCCTCTAAAATATAAACTCTGAAAAGCCATATGAACAGTAATGATGGCACATAAAAATAACTGCTATTGAAATAAGTAGCATTTATTTTCCCCTTAATACTGCCAATTTGCTAACTAAGGAAACTTAATACATGCTGATCTAAAAGTAGCATGAATAAAAATGATCCTTCTTAAAGATCATCTAAATGATGTCTTTCAGGGCCAGCAGCTAAATGAGGCATAAGCTATATTTCATATTATTATTCTAGTTTTAAAAAACTTCCTGGAGAAATTACTGGCATGTTACAGGAAGAACTACTGGTATCTCTTAGTACTCTCTAATTTCCTTTTCATTCCTGTCCTTAATCTGAACTAAGGCAAAGGCAAAAGGTCAAGTTAACACGATAATAAAAAGATAATGAAAATAGCAGACAAAAGAGGCTGAAGGTCTGATAAAACTTGTTCTAAGCTTGTTATCAAAGATCTTAGAACTTTAATATTCCATTATACTTAGATTTAGATTTATGACAAATTTTAATGTATTCAGAAAGACATTATGTCATAAACTAAAGTTTAATATCAATAAAACTACAAGCTTCAAAGAGGAATAAAATACCATACAAATTTATTTATTCTATTTATTTATTTTTTTACCTGTTTTCCCGCTCATACATTTCCCTAGAAGCGCTTCGAAGCTGATCAATTTCTTGATTAGTTTTCAATCTGATTTGTTCCAATTCATCACGTAGTTTATTTTCATATTCTGTTTTATAATGGTCTCTGCAAGGAGTCAAAAGGAATCTCCATGATTTTTTTTTGTAAAATAAATAGTTATTGCCATTTATGTAAAATTTTAATATTTTATGTTATATATGCTTTATATTTGACAATGTTACTTAAAAACATAGTATTAGATAAAAAGTTTTACAATTCCTAAAAGTACTGTTCCAACCTGGTTCCATCTAAGATTTCCTTTTAAACATACTACCCTAAAGGCTTAATTATTACATAAAATGTTAGTTCATGTTGAATAAGTATTCATCTTCAAAAATATTTTACTAATAGCTTTTAATGCATATGGCTAAAGAGTTGAAAACTAATGCATTATGGAATATCCTTCTTTTAGATAATAGTCTGGTGTGGTGCATTTTGGGAGACAAATAATCTTTAAAAAAAAAAAAAAGACCCTAATGGACTCTTTACAAAGCCTTTCCTTCTAAGCACAATGACCACAGCCACTGTGACCTCCCAGCAAAGTCACAAAGCCTTACACAGGGCAGCAGAAGCACAAACTGATCAAAAATACCAAAGCTGGGGAAAAAGGTACGAACATGTGAAATCTTAAAGGATAAAATTTAGAATTTGTTTTGGTTTTTGAAATGCTGATAAAAATAAAACCGCTCGAGGATTGTAAGGGCTATTGGTATAAAGGAACTGTAACAGCTTATGCATCCAGTTGAAGAGAGAAGACAGAACTGAAAGGCAGGTGTCTTATTCTAGAGCCTGTGTCTTAACCCAGTAAGCAATGCGGTCTCCTTGTTCTTTTGTTTCACACAGTCAGGAAAAAGTCAGCTTAGTCAGGCTTCACAGATAGATACTACTTCAAAAGATTCAAAAGATACTACTATAGAGATATTTATATACTTTCATAAAACACTTATACAGAGGTCTTAGTCACTAGGAAGTAAAAAAGGTTAGTATCATAAGAAAAAATAAGAATAGTTATAGTATGTGTGTGTGTATATAGAATATATATAGTATATCTATATATATATATCACACACACACATCCTGTATGTATACATACACACACACACACCCCTCCCCCCCCCACATATATCCCTACCTAAAAGCAAAAGGCTTTTGGTTGTTGGAAAAAAAACACAATGTCTTAAAGAAAAATCAATTAAAATATGAGTATCTTATGAGGAAACAAAATGAACCATTATCTTATCATCACTGTATAGACAGTAAAAGAAAACAAAAAAACAAAAAAACCCCCACTATTCTTCCCCAAAGCCAAGAGTTCCCTCAAAAATGCTGGTGTTCGTTTGTATCTATTTTATGGAAAATAATGTAAATCTTGCCTGGATGTTACATATTTTTCATACATCTCTTCTCTAGCCTTTTTGGTTTCTTCAAGTTGAGCATGAAGTCTTTCAAGACGATCTTCTTCATGGGCAAAGCGAACGCTGAGCTCCATGTTTTGCCGGTTGAGATACTCTTTATCCTTTTGCAGTAAAGTAACGGTCTGCTGTAAGGTGGTTACCTACACACACACACACACACACACAGAGGCAGTGTCCACAGCAATGTCATCTTACTTTGCAAGGCTTACTGTATCATTTTCTTTCATTTGTGCTTTTTCTTGCCACAGAAAGAGGGCTAATTCTTACCTGGAAATTTTTCATCCAAACAGAGCTACGAAAAATCCCTTCTTTCTGGCAACTACATCAAAAAGGGGAAAAAAAATGTCCCTCCCACAATTTCTGCCCTGGGCTACATCCACAACCACTGTACAACAAAACACAAGAGATTCTATCAGCTTACCTCTTTTGATAATTCACTTCTTTCTTTGGCTTGAGCTATGTGAGTGGCTTCAAGTATTTCATATTTTCTCTGTAAGTCAGTTACTTCCTGTTCAAGTGCATCACGCTCACTAAAAAATTCAAGTCCACTTACTTATTTATTTTTACTAAAATAAAAATTTATTTTTATTTTATTTATTTATTACTAAAATTCAAATACATATGTAAATTTTACAACTCTTTTTACAACGAACATTTAAAAAGGGTTGATTGTGTTTCAGGAAACTGAGCAGAGATATTAGCAGTGGGACTTCAGTGTTGTTCTATGAACAATAAAGTATCTGCTTTTCAGATTTAGAAGGAACTCTGTTGAAGACGTTCAGATACATAAATATGAATTATCTTTAAAAAATAAATAAGTAAACTGCACTAACCAACAAAGTAAATAATAAAACCTGTTAAGGTACACTCTGGTATCTTTACACTAATCATCTTCAAACTATCTTTATTTTTTTTAAGTTGAAGCACAGTCAGTTACAATGTGTCAATTTCTGGTGTACAGCACAATGTCCCAGTCATGCATATACATACATATACTCGTTTTCATACTCTTTTTCGTTAAAGTTCAACCTAATCTTGAAGCCAAAACTTTTAAAGAATTTATACATGGCTTCAGGCTTTCAGTTCAGTTAAGATCAAAAAACCCTTAACTCATCACTCAGATTGCATAGCAGATACACAAGCAGGCATTCTTGTGACTATTTCATTCACAAATTGTTTATGACTACTCAGAGATCCTAATTTCTATTTTCAGATCAGCTTTTTCCCTGACACAGTAAAACCAAGAATTGTACCAAATCTACAAACAAGCATCTTAAAAATGAGCAGAAAAATAGATTCACTAATTTTTAAAAAAATTTTTTTTGATTTACTAATTCTTAACTTACCCTCTCCAGTCAGAATCAGTTCATTTGCGCTTTATTTCATCTACTCACCTGGTGTGTCCATGGATAGAGCTATTCAGAACTGTTTTTCTTTTCAATAGATTCAATAACTCATTTAGAAAGACTTTTTTTCTTCTGCTTAACAAATATTCTGCTTATACTTGAGCAAGCACAAGTTAAAAAAACAACTATTACCCATAGACCCATAACTAAAGATGACTATCAGTATTAATATTTTGGTACGTATTAAGTATCTTCTGCTTTTACATGTAAATGTTATTCTCACAACGTAATGATCATGCTCCCTTTGCTACGATGTTTTTTATGTACGAAAGGGTTATGAAGCATGACAGAGCAAAACACCCATGAACTTCCTATCCACAGTTGACAACAGCTAACATTTGTCTATATTTGCATTAAAGTTTTGTTCTGTTTTTTAAAAAGATAGGACACTCTGAGTGAACCTCAAGTTCCCTTTATTTTCCTCCCTGTTCCCATATTATCCCCTAGATACAATGATGAATTTAGTGTTTCCATATCGTATGTTTTTTAACACACTTTTACTCTCCAATTGTTAGCATTCTGCCATATTTACTTTGTAATATTTACTAAATATTACCTGGTCATATCTATTGTCTCCCTCTCTGTTGTTCATATATGTAAATATATATACACATAAATACAGGTATGACACTACATGCGCACACACACACACACACACACACACTTTCCTACATGTGCATTTTTCCCCTCTCAACTATTTAAGTTACATGCTGACATTAGGTCCCTATATCCCTAAATAATTTGGTGTGAATTTCCTAAGATTAAAGACATTCTCTCATATAATCAGAATATAATTATCAAATTCAGGAGACTTAGCCCTAATACAATATCTAATATATAATCCTTTTTCAAATTTTGTCAATTGTCCTCAAAATGTCCATTATGGCAAGTTTCTCCCTGGCCCAGGAGTCAGTGCATCACCATGCACTGCATTTGGATGTCACGTGTCTTTAGTCTCCCTTAACCCTGAACAGTTCCTAAGCCTTTCTGCGTCTTTCACAGCATTGACTTTTTGTAGAGCACAGGCCAACTGTTTTATGGAATGTTGCTCAACTGTCATTTGTCTGATGTTTTCCTATGACTAGCTTCAGATTGAGCACCTTGGGCAGGAATACTGCAGAAGTGATAATGTGTCCTCAGTACATCAAATAAAGAGGCACGTGATGTCACTTTATCCCATGATCGATGGTAATTAACTTTGATCATTTGCTTAAGGTGGTATCTGCCAAAATTCTCAACTGTAAAGGTAACTTTTTGCCCTTTGCAATTAATAAGTAATCTGTGGGACATATTTTAACACTCTGTTCTAACATACTTTTACTCAATGGCTTTAACTTCCAATGATTCTGAATCAAACAGTATTATGAGGTTACAAAATGGTAATTCTAACATGTATATATATTTACTGGCTGGCATTCTACTGTGAAGACCCTCTTTATTTCTTGGTACATACTCAAGGATTCTTATTCTATTCAATGGATTAATAACAATAACTCATTACTGTTAATATTCATCCTGATATTTAAGTTGTACCATATTTGGCCAGTTGGCACCCCCCCCCAAACTCGCTATTGTGGTGTTGAATTGGACTTAGAGGTATCAGTATGATCTTATCTATAGTGTGTTAAGCCATCTTCCCACTTTCCTCTCCAAGGCCTCTGCCTTCTGGAAGGGCCTAGAAACAATGATCTTTGTAGCAATCACCAGCACCCAAATCTTAATTTCTCAATAGCATTCTCCACTAAAAGGAACCAAGACTCCTTTGAGAAAGGGCTGAGACACTGAAATTACAAAATAAACTTGAGAATTTTATATTATGCCAGAAAGTAAAGAAATGTTTTTTTCTTTTGGGGGTGGTGGAAGGAAAGATGGCCACAAGCATTCTGCTTTTTAAAATTTAATGTGTTTGACTTATCCATAGAGATACATTCAGGTCTAATTTAATGATTTTAATTGTTACATAGAATTATATCATAAAAATAAATCACAATCTATCCTCCATGTTACTGTTGAAAAGCATTTGAAGTCTTTCTAATAATGACGCAGTTAATATTCATACACCGGTTTTCTGTTTGCACATTTCTGAGAATTTATCAAGGACATAAAATGATTTTTTTTCCCCAGTTTATCTTATATGTTTGTGACCAGACCATTTTAAAAAAATCTGTTCTTCCTATTGAGTGAACCAAAGGACTCACAGTTTGAGGCACCCTTGCTTATTTGGTTTTCTGTTTCATTTCTAGTATATGAGGATGCTTATTATGCTTTTGATCAGGGCTATGTTTTTATTTCCTAGGTTTTCATTATAGAAAATAAAATATATGTAAATAGAGATGATAAAATGATACCCCCCCAATCCGTTTTCATCACCCAGCTTCAGTATCAACTCATGCCTCATCTTGGTTCATTTACCCTTCATTCATGGCCACTCTAGATTCTCTGCCTTTTAGTTTTCTTTTTTCATATTTTACCTGTTACTGTCATAGACTAATACTGGTAGAGAGGACATCAAAATACCAACTCAAAGTATCTACCAACACAATCTACTTCATTTTGAAATAAGTCTTTTGAAATCTAGCTTTATTCAAAAGCCCTATGGCTCATGGATTTCAAGCTCCAATAATCACTAGATTTTGACATAGCAAGACACACATAATAATATATATTGTGTGTCAGTCATGCTGGGAGTAAAAGCACCAATATCATAGCCCAAATCCTTATAAATTTACTTAATGGTGTTATACAATTTTTAAAGCATTCATTCATTTAACAAAAACTCACTGAAGGACTACGATAGTTCAAGAATTATTTCAGATGCAGGTAGATTCAGCAGTGTACAATTAGGATAATCTCTCCCTTTCTCCCTCTCTCTCTCCCTCTCTCTCTCTCTCTCTCTCTCTATATATATATATATGCACACACACACAAATATAAATATTTAGAAATATTACTTTATTTGATCTTAATTTATATGTACAATTATTTGTATTAGCCCCATCTCTGGCTTAGAATAAGAGATTTACCTAGGGACATGCAGCTAAGTAGTGGTTCATTAATGTACAAACAACAGAAAGTATGTTCCAGCAAAAGGAAAATTATTTGTTATAGCTACTCAGTAGCAACACAGTGGGAAACTTATCTACAGAAAGTGTTATTTTATGAAAGTATGTGTGCTTTTTGTCAAAAAGGAATAGCTGAAAAAACCTCAGATAAAATTGTGAAGTATTTCAATTGATTTCATAAAATAAAAATAATCAAGTAGATTTTTAAAAAAATCTACACATACGGGACTTCACTGAGTTCCTATCTTATAATGTATTACATTTGAAAGGACAAAAACAACTTCTAAATAAGATGAAAACAATCGATATAAAAATACAGTCTAAATCCAACAAACTGCCAAAACTGCATGCTTTTGTCAATGAAGAATAAGGATATGTCAAGAGAATAAAAAGACAAGCCACAGACTGGGAGAAAATATTTGCCAAAGACATATCTGATAAAGGACTGTGATCCAAAACATACAAAGAACTCTTAAAACTCAACAGTAAGAAAACAAATAAACCAATTAAAAAATGAGCCAAAGACCTTAACACATACCTCACGAAAGCAGAGATACAGATGGCAACTAAGTACATGAAAAGATGTTTCATATCATGTCATCAGAGAAGTGCAAATTAAAACGAGATACTACTAGACACCTATTAGACTGGTCAAAGTCCAGAACAGTGATAACAAATACTGGCAAGAATGTAGAGCAACAGGAACTCTCATTCGTTGCTGTTGGAAATGCAAAATGGTACAGACACTTTGGGGCAGACAGTTTAATGGTTTCCTACAAAACTAAACATACTCTTACCATACAAGTATACTCATGCTCCTTGGTATTTACCCAAAGGAATCGAAAACTTATGTCCATACAAAAACCAGCATGTGAATGATTATAGCAGCCTTATTCCTAATTGCCAAACCTTGGAAATAACCAAGATGTCCTTCAGTAGGTAAATGGATAAATAAATTGCAGTACATCTTGATAATGGGATATCATTCATTATTCAATGAAATATTATTATTCAATAAATATTATTCAATGGCATATTATTCATTATTCAAATGAGCTATCAAGCCATGAAAAGACAAGGAGGAAACTTAAATGTATATTACTAAGTCAAAGAAGCCAATCTGAAAAGGTTTCATATGGCATGATTCCAACTATATGATATTCCAGAAAAGGTAAAACTATGGAGACAGGGAAAAAAAAAGATACAGCGTAGAACTACAAATGTTGATGGTAAGAATTCAAGTGACTAAGATGCAAGCTATAAATGAGAACCACTGCTGGGGCCATCTTAACCACTTACCTCTTGACTTTGTCATAGTTCTCTTGACGGTAGTCACCTTGCTTAATTAACTGTTTTGTGTCTGCTAATTCTAAGGCCAAACGCTGACATCTGATTTGAAGCTCAGAGTAGTTTCTGCGATCTTCCTCATAAGTCTATAAGCCAAAATAGTCATAAGATATTTCAAACTAAACATACTCAACCAAATTCTGTACCAAATTCTTCTGTTAAGCTCCGAGTGTTTTTGTAATTTTAAAAAAACCTCCACTTTTCTATTAGTAATTTTTTCCTACTCAAAGAGGGGTAATCAATTCACAGAGGAGTTTATAAGTTCATTTGTTTATAACTTGAGCTCTGTTTTCCACAGTAAAAAATAGGACAGCTATGCTTTAATAGAATAATACATAAAATGACTACCAATTTTTTTTTTTTTTTTTTTTTTTAGTTTGATCTCATAGCTTAGTGGCTCACGGCCTAGGCTTCTTTTTTTTTTTTTTTTTTTTTTACTTTGAGAGGTAATTTTATTTTTTTATTTTTTATTTTTCACACTCATTGTCACATCTTTTTCTCTGACTACCAATTTTAAATGATGTTTTCAACATTTACTGAGTTACTAAAGGCACAGAAGTGAATGACACACAGCCCCTATTCTTGAGTTCCCAATTTAGAGAGGAAAAGACACATGAATATCAAACGTCTACAATGAAAAACAGTTAACTGAAGAGATTAACCCATGCAGTTCCGGTTGTTGTGTTCAGCAAAAAAGGAAATTCTGTGGCACTTGGGGCATATTTCTAGATTGATCTTCCTTGGACTCACCAGACTAGTAGAAAGCAGTTGTAGAGAGACGGGGGTGGGGGAGAAGTGAAAATCTGAAAAGCATACCTTAACCTGCTTACTACAAGCCTCATTTCTCACCATTTCTCACATTTACACTTCACCTCAAGCCTACTAAAGATCTGAAGTTCTCTGAACGCGCTGTGCTTTCTCTAACCTCTCCTCCTCACCTGAAGAGCTGAATGTCTGCCTCCTTCAGAGTAGGGTTCTCACTGTATCATCAAAGTACCTCATCAGAGTGTAAACATCTTAAGGGCACGGACTTGGTCTTTTTCGCCACTGGATCATCATCACTTTGCACAGTACTTGGTATACAGTAAGAATGAAATACTTTTCAATAAGTTAATGAAGAAATAAATGAACATGGAAATGGGGAGGAGAAGCAGGACGTGGGGATGGAGTTCCTACTTATTCTTCCCCTTTGAACTCATTCGACCTTGTAAGCAGTCATCAACTCCACCCCCAGAACCTGTCACATTAAATACATCCTGTCACAAGTCATTCTTTTTTAAGGAGCTGGCCAGCTCAGTGTGGTCACATTCAGTCCACAAATACTGACTGAACTAGTTCTAAGTGACTGGTCCTGGGCGAGACACTGTAGATACAAAGATGACTAAGACTGTGTTTTGTCCTGTTTAACTATTAGAGACATGAGTAAAATGTTAGCTCCCAAATTTCTGTCTAGGGCTGTCTGAAAAATGGTAATTATGGAAAAACTATATTGGGTGTGTTTTGCTTCAGTATAGTATTATGTTCTTCTACACCGATGTTCTCCATGAGAATGGAATGGTACTAGATGGTATTTATTACAGGATCAGAGCTGAAGATGCTCTAAACCTCCCTGAAGAATCATCATATACACTTTTCAGATCTAAGTCCCAGAAGATGCTTTAGTTCCCTTGAAGAATACTTTAACCCTTCTAAACACTACTAATCATGTAATTGTTTTGGGAGAGTGAATAATGTTACAGTTAGGATGGACAGCTCCAGAATTCAACTGTCTAGAATTGAATAACCTACAGTTAAGACTTTGGGCAGGCTGACCTCTCTGTACTTCAGTGTCTTCATCTACTTCAGAGAGTTGCTGTGAAGACTGTAACAAGTAATACATACATAGTGCTTGTAAAAATGCCTAAATGATCATTAACTGTCAATTAATATCATCACACTGCTTCTTCTTTGCTTTGGCTACCAGAGAGATTATAGCCAAACTGATAGCTCAACCTTCATCACATCACAACCTTGAGCACAGGATTCTGTGCTCAAGACAGAATCCTGAGGAATATAAACATTTAAAAGGTGAAGGAAGGGCAAAAAGTCCAGGGTATCCAAGGGAATATTCACAGAAACAGACACCTGGGGTGTGTCAAGGACAACTGCCAAAGAGCTGCTCTGAGGAGACGAAGCTGTCGGTGGTACTAATTACTACTGAGAAAAAACAACAAGCCAACCCATTAAGTATTCAGGGATAGGGATGGAAGGTAGACTGCCAGGGACAAAAGCAGATTTATCTGAACATGCAATACATCCTTTCTGGTGCTATTTTACATGCGTTCTCTCACTGAATACTTAACTTTATGACTGGGCATAAGTATTATCCTCATTTTTAGAGATGAGGAAACTGAGGCTTGAAGAGAAAAAATGTCTCGGACCTCATGAACGTACAGGGAGGACTCCAATCTAAATTTGTCAAACATCAAGACTGCACGTAACTCTCCTTAGTTTAAGAATACAGTGGAGAAAGTGAAGTAACTAGAGAAGAAAATAGGGATAAGTGAAGGTTTTTAAAAGATGAGACAAGCTTGAAAATGTTCAAATATGGATGGGAAAGAACAGCAAAAGAGGGACAGATACTGGAGAAAACGGGTGTGGTTAAGGGCGCAGGGGATGGGCTCCCTCTTCACTGTGAAGACTGGTCTTAGACCAGCGGCCACACCCACCATGGCAGGCTTTTCTCCAGCCCATGCGGAGAACTACCTGCAACTGACACGCTGTAACTGACTGTACTTCCATAAACAAACAAACCTGATTTTAAATTTGGATGTTCTCTGGTCGCTCTTATCAGTTCTCTACAAGTCACAGAACTACTCTTTACCCTTCACAATATTTTGTATTACCCACTTGGTTACTAAAGGCATGTGATTTTTCCACCCCTTGAGAGTAAGCCTCTTCACATTATAAACAATAAGAACCAACCAACCAAACAGAATGAGGGCAGATTAAATGTTTGTGGCAAGAAATTGTGGGAGTTCTCCTTTAAGGATTTCCATTTTCCATTTTCTCATCTGCTGAGAGGGAGAAGGAAAGAGGGAAAATGGAGATGTGAGGAGAGACGTGAGTGCCTAAAACAACCTCTGAGAAGAATGAGAAGACTAGAAAAAACAGAATTACAGCACAATTGGGTGGGCCCATTTGAAATCGGTAACAATAAACTTAATAGCGCTTGCTGGTGCCTCTGTGATTTCCTAGAAAGGGTTGAGAGGCAGGTTTGATAAAAAGACAGTTGGGAGGAATTAAAGAACATTGACAAGAGAAAAGTTTAAGACTGATAACATGATGAAGAGGGAAGAAAACATATTTACGAAGAGATGGATAAAAAAATAAAATACACGGATTGGAAATCCTGTTAAAAAGAGGGTGGAAGCCAATGACTGGGAAACATGGAAACAGAGGAAGTAGTATGTTTAGTGATCAACCTGAATTGATCACTTTAAATGTAAATCAGTTCTGGGTGACAAGGAACAGAATGCGGGCCATGAACCCGAGTGCCGAAGTGGAGAAGAGGTGCTCATTCAAGGTGAGATTAATTAAGTGCAAGGTCAAGGTTGTGGAGGATGAATCCCAAGAAGCAACCCAGGCAGCAGCGAAGCAGGAAAGAAGATTAAATCTAGAGCATGGGTTCCACTAAACAACACCACGTCCCAGTGGTCTGCCAATGAGGCAGGTTACAAGGTGACATGAATGTTCCAAAAAACAGGGGTCTATGTAAGGCGGGGGAGTGCCAAGATCTAAAAGTAGAAAGATCTAGAGAGGATGTCAGTACCTGGCCCTGAAATACATGAGATATAAACTCCCGGTGCAGAGTCATGGGACATATGGATATGTGTGTGCACATATTTTATACATACATGTATGTGTAATGTGTATATATATACGTACATATATATTTTTCTTTAAATACCATATGACCAAATATAAACAGAAGTTCAGTACAGGAATGTATACATCCTACCAACTCTTTTCCTCAGAACTTTTCAAGTGAAAAACTTCCCCCTTAAATAAAACTATTACTTTTATATTTTGAAATAAAATCTGCCTCACTTACTATCAGCAATAAAATAAAGGCATAACTTTGGGAAAAAAGAAAAGAGAAAAAACGCATGACTGGGTAGAATTTTAAGGTGAGGGCTAAAGAGAGCAGAAAAGACTACGTTGTATTATTCCTACACACTCCTCCTGTCTTGAACTCAGTATCGACTTCTGTGAGAAAACTCCAAGTCCCAAATCTGCGTGAGAAGTCTGCCTTATATTTTCCCACAGCACCTGGTTCTCGCCTCTGTCAGAAAACATATCACAGGTGCTGTGAACGGCCATTACTTGCCTCTCACATCGTAGGGGAAAATTTAAGTAAGTTTTCTACAATCCTAGCATCTAGCACTCTGCCTCTTACATGGAATAAGGTTTACAATTAATGTCTATGGAAAAGGATGAGCAGAAGAGAATGTTAATAGTCCAAAACTAAAGAAGTGAAAAACTTAAACCTTTTCAAACATACAGACACACATGAAACTTCCAGTCACCAGCCCTCTCTAATAGAAACTTTCTAAATAGATAGTAAATAGGTTTGGGTAACAGCAAGTCTCAATTTCCTTTTATAATCAAGGGGAAAAAAAACTGCAGAGGAAAATAAAGACAACTCAAGTCACTGAGAAGATTTCAAATGTTTGCCAGTTTTCTGTATACCTAGAATGGAGCTGATTTTGATTGCCAGGGTTAATGTCATCTTTTCCGTCTCCTAAATTATTCATCTGAGGAAATAACAGAAGGCTATCTCTAGCCTGAAAACAGTAAATCTGTTATGGTAATTGCATGTTTTCCTGTCTTGCCTATAAACCCTCGCCTTCCCCCACACCCACTTAAGACCCTGGAGCTCCTTGAAGACCTGCCGTTTCTCTGCACACCTAGCAACCCTCCCATAGTAGTTACACTGGAAACGTTTGGAGACTCAACTAATGTTGAAATATAAATGGACTATGCAGCACTAGCATTTACAAAAACTAGCTCAGGATGTAGAAACAGTGGCTTTAAAACTTAAAGTGTTAACTCATCAGGGGCGGGAAGCCATAGCTCAGTGGGAGAGAGTGTGCTTAGGATGCAGAAAGTCCTGGGTTCAATCCCCAGGACTAAAATAAATAAATAAATCTAATTACCTTCCCCACAAAAACAAACAAAGAAAAGAAACAAGAATTCATCAGTTTTCCAACTGAAATCAAAGAATATTATCATAAATCTGCAAATAAAATGCCCCATTTGAAACAATGACATCTATGCAACATATAAGCAGAATTTTCTCAAGGATTTTGAGAAAGACAGCATGAAAGGGGCTTCTCTTTCTTGATCCGGGTGGTTGTTAAATGCGTGTGTTCACTTTGTGAAAAGTCAATTAAGACTTCTTTCTCATACAGACATTTAAAAAAAATGAAACAAGAGGCTTCAACCAGGAAAATGTTAACTGGGGAAAAGTTCTGCGAGGATGCTTGCCTTAGGAATGGAAGAGGCGACATGTGAGAGTCATGCGGAAGGGGAGAAGGGCTGAGCAGGATGGAAGGGCGTAGTGAAGAGACATGCATTTTACTCTATATATTTCTCTGCTGTTTGTTTGATATAAGAAACTGAAAAGCATATATTACACAGTGTTTTGGCAAAGTTATCAACTATTAGACCTCTTATATTTATATCGAGATGCCTTCCCCCACTCTCCCCGCCCGCAAGCCTCTTGTTTCCAAATAACAGCAGCTGAGCATTTTGCAATTACAAAATCTCAAAGATGGATAAAGATACACTGGAGATAATCTACTACTATCTTATTCCCAAGATAAGAACTTTAAGGCCTCGAGTGGTTAAATGATTTGTCCCAGATTCCAGAGCTCAAATCCAGGGTGGTAAAAGACTCCAATGTAAGTTTTATGGGTTCAAATATGGCACAGGCATAAATCATAGTTAATTTTGGACCCATTTCTTTAAAACAATTGTCACAATTATTTCTTAAATATATCTAGAAAAAAATCATTGGACAAACTAACATCGAATCTAAATGTTTTCTACAAAGAGTAAAAATGTACTCAAAGATGCAATTAAATAGGCACATTTTCAATAGTCGGCAGCTGTAAACCAAAAAGCAATTACTTTAGATATGATGAATTTCCAAGCATCATTTAAATCTTTTGTTTTTCACACCATGTAAACTAAGTTGAAAATGGTAACGTATGTGTCAAAATAATTCTTTAATAAATGAAGTGATCTGCCCGGGGGTAGACAGTGCAGCTAAGAAAATGAGAAATGGGATATAGTGTCATTTACCTTATGGTCAATGGTTCAAAGCAGAAGCAGTTTACATTGGATAGCAGTTTAGTGAATGAGAAGCAATGTCTTGGTTAGCTATTCTGGGAAAGTGAGAATTCACTCCTCAGAATTCTTACAAGTTTCACATTGCCTGTAATCTACTTACTCCCAAGCAACTAAATACTGAAAAGAACAAGAAACCTAATTAATCTTTTGACTGTTAAGAAACAAGTCTGTTTTGCTGCCAGAGTCTACTTTTTTGTTAAGATCTTCAAGAAACATATTATTTTAAAAGAAGTTTGCATTTAAGTCTTAAAAAAAAAAAGAGAGACAAAACTGAAATATTACAAGTCCACTGTGGGTGAAAAAGAAAACATGAAAATTTCAATATTTGTATTACATGATAATTCTAAGTATCTTTCCAATAAATGTGAATTCAGACATAACAGTTTAAGCTTTTCTAAAAGGAAATTTTTTTTTAAATACGAAGGAAGAGATGAGAGATGAAGAAAGGTAACCTGCACCAAGTTGTGGACATTAAATTAAGATAGAGATGTGGGCTCAAATCTGTCTCTGCTAAGTGCTCTAGCAAGTCAGTTTCTCTGAATCTTAACTGCTGCTTCTGCAAAGTGAGAACCCTAACTGATTCACTGGCTTATTTATTTTTATGTGCCCACTATTGTACTAAACATTATATTACTATTATTCATAACTAGCTCAAGAATCTAGAACCCTCCACTGTTAAATGTTATGCTGATGTGTTGAGAGGCAGTTTTATTGCCAACATTTTACTCAGCGAACTATTAAAACAAATTTGAAATACTGGTATTTCAATACATATTGACTCAAATATGACTGAACCAAAAATATTTAAATCTTAACATTTTAAAAGAGACCGAGTGACTAAATTATCTTTAAAATCTCCCTT